AGAGATCACGCCATTGCACTTCAGCCTGGGTAACAGAGCGAGACTCTATCTCAGAAGAAAAATAAATAATGGCAAATGGTAATGCACTAATGGCATTCCTGTTGAGAATTAAATTTGACATAAGCTTGCGAAATCTACAGAAACTGATGGTGGTGCCGCCTTTAGGCAATGTATCTCAAATATCAGTGATTTTATCTGGGCTTTTTAAAAGAGCTGGGGCTGGGCACTGTTGGTCACACCTGTAATCCCAGCACTTTGGGAGGCCAAGGTGGATGGCTTGAGCCCAGAAGTTTCAGACTGGCCTGGGCAACATGGTGAAACCCTGTCTCTACAAAAAAAATACAAAAATTAGCAAGGCGTGGTGGTGCATGCCTGTAGTACCAGCTACTTGGGAGACTGAGATGGGAGGATTGTTTGAGCCCAGGAGATGGAAGCTGCAGTGAGCCATGATTGCACCACTGCACTCCAGTCTGGGAAGCACAGTGAGACCCTGTCTCAAAATAAAAAATAAAGCCAGACACAGTGGTTCATTCCTGTAATCCCAACACTTTGGGAGGCTGAGGCGGGCAAATTATGAGGTCAGGAGTTCAAGACCAATCTGTCTAACATGGTGAAACCCCATCTCTACTAAAAATACAAAAATTAGCCAGGCGCAGTGCCAGGTGCCTGTAATCCCAGCTACTCCGAAGGCTGAAGCAGGAGAATCGCTTGAATCTAGAAGGTGGAGGTTGCAGTGAGCTGAGATCACGCCATTGGACTCCAGCCTGTGCAACAAGAGTGAAACTCTACCTCAAAATAATAATAATAAAAATAAACAAATAATAAATAAATAAATGATAATAGCCACAATTTAAGGAGCCCTTTTGCTCGAAACAACAGTTCATGGGAGTTAAGCGAGGCCAAAATAAGGTCAGCACACATGGAGACCCCAGGTCTAGGCTTACTAGCAGTGTGCTGAGTGGTAGAACTGCCTTCTCTGGATTAGGCCGTGACAGAGGCACCAGGCAACTCTTGTGAGTCATAAATGACCTACCTGTCAGATTAAATGACAGAATCAGTTCCGGCCTTGTATTACTTGCTAATTATGGGACAGCTCCTGTAACTATGTTTCGTTGGTTTGTTTTCTCTTCTAGGAAACCAACTGGGTATGAACAACTTCCTTCTATGTCCTCACAAGTGTGTGTTGAATGATTGTTCTGACAGAAGGATGTGTGTAGGTACCTGTCCAGTGTGTCTCTGTCTTGGAAATCTATAGTTGTATAGTCTGGGTGATAAACCTACTGTGAATCAGAATTACCTCAAGTTACCTATGTTACACCATTTCCTTGTCATGAATAATTTTGGAACATTGTTCATTTCCTTCCATATAAAAATCTATTTTTAAAAGATGATGTGAAGGTAGCCTATCTGCCATTTAACTATTGATAAGGTTATTTGCATTTTTAAAAAATCCTAGTCTCTCAAGAGGAAAATGAGAAGCTGAAAGCCATTCCCATCTAAGAACTCAGAGGTGTCCATTGTTTGCCTGCCAATGCTCTCACATGACCTAAGAGATGGACCTGCACATTCCTTAAGTATTCAGTAAGCAAACAATTGAAGACTTATTGTGAGGGGCAAAGGAATTGGTTTGGTCATCCTTAGTGAGACGTATTTTAAGAGAAAAGCAAAGAATTTGAATGTAATTCAGTAGTTTTGCTGTTGGTATTAATAATTGCATTACTGTTTCATACTTTTTTCCTATTGCCAAATAAAAGAAATAAGGGATTATGCTAACTTTGTTAAGAATTTAACCTTTTTATTTAGAGTGATAATTCAGTGTTCCACTGAATTACAAAGAAAGAGAAATACACTTATAACTTGGAAGAAGAATAAAAAATTGGAGTGGACATGCAGTAATGTAAGAACTAAGTTGAAAATATAAATATAAACTAATAACACTTAATAAATATGTCTTTTCTAACTTGGTTCAATGAAACTGCCAAGGAGCAATATTATACCACCAACATGAGCCTGATCATATTGCACTCCTGCTGTCTATTTTGGGGTCTAAAACCATTTTTCAGATCTGGCACGGTGGCTCACACCTGTAATCCCAGCACTTTGGGAGGCCAAGGTGGGCGGATCACAAAGTCAGGAGTTTGAGACCAGTCTGACCAACGTGGTGAAACCTCATCTCTACTAAAAATACAAAAATTAGCCAGGCAAGGTGGCACATGCCTGTAATCCCAGCTGCTCAGGAAGCTGAGACAGGAGAATCACTTGAACCTGGGAGGCAGAGGTTGCAGTGAGCTGAGATCGTGCCATTGCACTGTAGCCTGGGTGACAGAGAAAGACTCCGTCTCAAAAAATAATACAAAAAAAGATAAAATAAAATAAATTAAAAGTAAAACAATTTTTTACTTAAAGGAACCAACATACCTCAGAAAAATGGCTGATTCCATGTCTGGATCTAGGGAGGCACAGGTGAGTCTTGGAACATTTTGTTTGGGCCAGAAAGCAAGGATACTTTCTAAAAACACAGTGTTGGGGCTAGGCATGCTGGCTCATGCCTGTAATCCCAGCCTTTTACAGCTCACCTGTTATCCCAATCCCAGGCTGAGGCAGGAGGATCATTTGAGGTCAGGAGTTTGAGACCAGCTTGGCCAACATGGCAAAACACTTTCTCTACTAAAAATACAAAAATTAGCCAGGTGTGGTGGTGTGTGCCTGTAGAAGCTGAAAGCCACTGAGAAGCTGAAAACCATTTCCATCTAAGAACTCGGAGGTGTCCGTTGTTTGCGTGCCCATGCTCTCGTGTTAACTAAGAGGATGAAGCCACACATTTAGTATTCAGTAGGTGAACAAAATGAAGACTTATTGTGAGGGGCAAAATAATTGGTTTGGGAGGCTGAGAGATCACTTGAACCCAGGAGGTGGAGATTGCAGTAAGCCAAGATCGCACCACTGCACTCCAGTCTGGGCGACAGAGCGAGACTCTGTCTCAAAAAAACAAATAAATTGAAAAATAAAAATAACAGTGTTGGAAATAATGGAAGAATACAGAAGCAAGTTTAATGGATCACCCATTGACTAAATTCTGTTCAACTGCGTATCGAAAGGAAAATGATGACTAGAGTTAGTTGAAAAGCCTTAAGTAGTGAAGTGATGAATCCATAATGACAGCAAAAATGGGAAAAGTCAATGGATTGTATTACAGAAGTCGAATATCATCGTTTATTGAATCCGTGCAGAATACCAAATTCAGTAAATAACAAGTATGTTCATTTTAAGTTTACATTGAGAAAAACAGTTCTTTAACTCTTAGGCCATAACTACCTGCGTCTACTATTGCAAACTGCTTTCTTGTAGGACAAAATTATTTATGTATGTAAGCACAGTCCCAGCGTACCCTGCCTGCCTTCGAAATTGAATACTGAAGGTTTTGATTGCACCTTGAAATGTCATTTTCGTGAATTATCTCAGGAAAATTAGTGTTGGAATATATTCGAATTTGTTTCAGTCAACTAAATTTTGTTTTATTTATTTGTTTAGAGATGGAGTCTAGCTGTCACCCAGGCCAGAGTGCAGTGACTCACTGTAACTTTTGCCTCTTGGGTTCAAGTCATTCTCCTGCCTCAGCCTCCTGAGTAGCTGGGATTACAGGTGCATGCCACCACACCTGGCTAATATTTGTATTTTTAGTAGAGATTGGGTTTCACTATGTTGGCCAGGCTGGTCTGGAACTCCTGACCTCAGTTCATCCACCTGCCTCAGCCTCCCAAAGTGTTGGGATTACAGGCATGAGCCACCGTGCCCAGCCTATCAAATAAGTTTTAAGAGGTAGTTCGTAACCCTGGTGGTATTTTGTTTAAGTATATAGCAGGCTGTTCAATAGAACTTTCCATGAGGATGGAAATGTTCTATATCTGTGCTGAGCAATATGGTAGCCATTAGCCACAGGTAGCTAATGGTTACTGAACACTGAAATATGGCTACTGTGACCAAGAAACTAAATTTTTAATTTAATTTAGATTTAAAGTTAAATGGCTGGAAGTGGTGGCTCACGCCTGTAATTCCAGCACTTTGGGAGGCCAAGGCGGGCGGATCACCTGAGGTGGGGAGTTCGAGACCAGTCTAACCAACACTGAAAAACCCTGTCTCTACCAAATATACAGAATTAGTTGTGTGTGGTCGCGCACGCCTATAATCGCAGCTACTCGGGAGGCTGAGAAGGAGAATTGCTTGAACCTGGGAGGTGGATGTTGCTGTGAGCCAAGATCACACCATTGCACTCCAGCCTGGCAACAAAAGTGAAACTCTGTCTCAAAAATAAATAAATAAATAAATGTAAAATAGACACATGTAGCCATGTGGCTAATGACTAATGTATTGGACAGTATAGGTCTACACATATATATATATAGATATTTTTTTTTCTTTTCTTGAGGCAGTCTCCCTCTGTCATCCAGGCTGGAGTGCAGTGGCACAATGTCAACTCACCACAACCTCTGCCTCTTGGTTCAAGCGATTCTCCTGCCTCAGCTTCCCAACTAGCTGGGATTACCAGCACTTGCCAACACACCAAGCTAATTTTTATATTTTTAGTAGAGGTGAGGTTTCACCATATTGGCAAACTGGTCTCGAACTCTTGACCTCATGATCCACCCACCTTGACCTCCCAAAGTGCTGGCATTATAGTCTTGAGCCACTGCGCCTGTCACACTTCTAGATTTTAAGCCACACTAAATTTTTTAGAGTCAGGTCTCACTCTGTTGCTCAGGCTGGAGTGCTGTGGTGTGATAATAGTTCACTGCAGCCTCAAACCCCTGGCTCCAGCAATCCTCCCACCTCAGCCTCCCAAGTAGCTGGGATTACAGGCTTGTGCCACCATGCCTGGCTAATTTTAAGATTTATTTGTAGAGATGGGAGGTCTTGCTATGTTGCCCAGGCTCCTCTAGAAAACCTGGCCTCAAGAGATCTCCCTAAAGCTCTGGGATTATACGCCTGAGCCACTGCACCGTTCCCATTAATTAGATGGGTTTCCTTCAGTGTGACCTCTTGAAACAAAAATGAAAAAGAAAACAAAAACAAAAAAATAGACGCTTTACCTAGTGATGCAAATTCCTTCTCACCAATTCTGGAATGTTGTCCATTTCCTTTCAAATAAGAATCTATATTGAAAATATTTAAAATTTTAATTCATTGTTTGAATAGGTAACACGTTCATATTGTTTAAAAACACTAAAATGACAAAAAAAGGTGCATGGTAAGAATTCTCTCCCATCCTATCTCCCAGCTACCCAGGTCTCTTCAGCATAGGTGTGACTGATGTTACTGGTTTCTTATGTATCCCAGAGATACTTTATGCATTTACAAGTAATATTAGCACATCACTATTGTTCATAAGGCTTTTAAAATTCCTCTTTACATATTTTAAGGGTCACTTTATATCAGTTCATCAACTGTCTTCTTCCTATGACTGTGTAGTTTTAAGAATCTGTTTTAAAAGATACCTGAAGGTGTCTTGTCTGTCATTTTGACAATCGACAAGATAGCTTCGATTAGAAATGTTAAAAATCCTAATCTTGAGCTGTGCAGCATGGCTCACACTTGGAATCCTAGCACTTTGGAAGGCAGAGGTGGGCGGATCACAAGGTCAGGAGTTCAAGACCAGCCTGGCCAATATGGTGAAACCCTGTCTCTACTAAAAATACAAAAGCTACCTGGGCATGGTGGTGAGCACCTGTAGTCCAGCTACTCAGGATGTTGAGGCAGGAGAATCGCTTGAACCCAGAAGGCGGAGGTTGTAGTGAACTGAGATCTTACCACTGCACTCCAGCCTGGGCAACAGAGCAAGACTCTGTCTCAAAATAAATAAATAAATAAATCCTAATTTTGATCCAGCATGTGGCTCATGCCTGTAATCCCAGCACTTTGGGAGGCCAAGGTGGGTAGATCATGAGACCAGGAGTTCAAGTCCAGACTGACCAGTATGGTGAAACCGTGTCTCTACTAAGAATACAAAAAGTAGCTGGGCGTTGTGGCGAGCACCTGTAGTCCCAGCTGCTCAGGAGGCTGACAGGAGAACCACTTGAACCCAGGAGGCAGAGGGTGCAGTGAGCAGAGATCACGCCACTGCGCTCCAGCCTGGGCGACAGAGCAAGACTCTGTTTGAAAAAAAAAAAAAATCCTAATTTTGATCAGGCATGGTAGCTTACCCCTGCAATCCCAACACTTTGAGAGGCCAAGGCAGGAGGGTGGCTTGAGGCTAGAAGTTTGAGAACAGCCTGGGCAACATAGTGAGACACTGTCTCTAAAAACAAAATAATTAAAAAAATTATAATTTCACAAGACAGGTAATGATAACAGCAAGTAGAGCCTATGGCAGCTTGTACTCAGTGCACCCTGCCCATATGTAGGAAGCATGCATTTCAAAATGCCTAGTCCTTCTTTTCAAAACATGTATTTTGAGGGCCGGGTATGGTGGTTCGTGCCTATAATCCTAGCGCTTTGGGAAGCCGAAGCTGGCAGATCACTTGAGGTCAGGAATTCAAGACTAGCCTGGCCAACATAGTGAAACCTTGTCTCTACTAAAAACACAAAAATTAGCTGGATGTGGTGGCAATGCCTGTAATTCCAGCTACTCAGGAGGCTGGTGCAGGGGAATCACTTGAACCCAGGAGGCAGAGTTTGCAGTGAGCTGAAATTACACCACCACACTCCATCCTGAGCAAGAGAGCTAGACTCTGTCTCAAAAAAAAAATAAATAAAATAAAACTTGTATTTTGAACCAAATCTAATTAAGTTTTGTGAAGTGACCCAAGATATTTTAATACTAAATATGACTGTTTAAAAAATAACACAATTTAAATTTCAATAATATGTGATTTCCTTTAGCGGTTTTCCATTGCGCAAAGAATAACATCCAAACTCCTCCCCAAGGCTCACCAGGCTTTGTGTGATCTGGCTCCAGACTTCTTAATCAGGAGGCTCCAGCCACATAGACCTCTCAGCACAGCCAGCTCTTTGCTGCCCTAGGCCCTTGAACTCACTCTTCTCTTAGGCTGGCATACTCCTTCCTGGGCTCCTCCTATGCCTTTCTACTTCTTCCTCCGTCCTGGCTGGCACAGTGGCTCATACCTGTAGTCCCAGCACCCTGGGAGACCAAAGAGGGAGGATTGCTTGAGCCCAGGACTTTGAGACCCAGCTGGGCAACATAGTGAGATCACGTCCCTACTAAAATTCAAAACAATTAGGCTGGGCACAGTGGCTCACACCTGTAATCCCAGCCAAGATAGGCAGATCTTGTCACTTGAGGCCAGGAGTGTGAGACCAGCCAGGCCAACGTGATGAAAACTCATCTCTACTAAAAATACTAAAATTAGCTGGGCATGGTGGCACACATCTGTAGTCCCAGCTACTCGGGAGGCTGAGGTGGGAAGCTCACTTGAGCCCAGGAGGTGGAGGTTGCAGTGAGCCGAGATGGCACCATCCATTCCAGCCTGGGTGACAGAGTGAGACTCCATTTAAAAAAAAATTAAAATTTTTTAAAAAGTAAGATGGGTGGCGCATGCCTGTAGTCCCACCTACTTGGAGAGCTAGGACAGGAGGATCACTTGAGCTTATGAAGTTGAGGCTGCAGTGAGCCTTGGTCATGCCACTGCACTCCAGCCTGGGCAACAGAGTGAGACCCTGTCTCAACAAAAAAGGCACCCTCATTGATGTCTTCCCCAAATATGCCGTCCATAGTGCTCCCCACCCAGTCCCCATACTGCTTTCTTCAAAGCACTTATCTATAATCTGTAAGTATTTTGTTTATTTAATGCTACTTCTCCAACTGAAATATAAGATCCCTGAGAACAGGACCTTGAACTGTCTTTACTAATATGTCTCCAGGGTCTAAAGCAGAGCATGGCATAGAGTTGGTATACAGCTAATATTTGCTAAAGCAAAAAAGGTTGAATAAGCAAATTAGAATGCATTTCAAAACAGGACCCAAAACTTGGGGGAATTTGGACAAATGTTATGCGTTTCAAATATTTCCTCATAATTAAATAAACATCATGAATTACTTTCATAGAAACAGTGATTTATATGAGGTTTTGATTCATTAGCATCTATCTGGAGTCCTATTAACTTGTTTTGTAAGTCAGAGACATTCGGTATGTTTGAATCACTCGGCTGCCTGCTCTGCTGTGACTGTTGTTTATGAAGTGATGCTGTTTATGCCATAATGTATGTGTTCTTCATCTTATAATCTTGCTGAATCACTAAGTTGACATGTATTGGTCTCTTAGTCAACATTTATTAGTCAAGTCCTTACCTTGTCATTACTAAGAAATATGTGGTAGCTCATGACTGTAATCCCAGCACTTTGGGAGGCTGAGGCAGGAGGATTGCTTGAGTCCAGGAGTTGGAGACCAATCAGGGCAACATAGTGAGACCTTGTCTCTACAAAAAATAGACAACATTAGCTTGGCATGGTGGTATAAGCCTGTAGTTCCAGCTCCTCAGGAGGCTGAGGTGGGAGGATGGCTTGAGCCTGAGAGGTTGAGGCCGCAGTGGGCTGAGATCATGCTACTGTACCCCAGCCTGGGTGACAGAGCAAGACCCTGTCACAGAAAAAAAAAAAAAAGCTGGGCGCAGTGGCTCATGCCTGTAATCCTAGCAGTTTGGGAGGACAAGGTGAGATCACAAGGTCAGGAGTTCGAGACCAGCCTGGCCAGCATGGTGAAACCCCATCTCTACTAAAAATCCAAAAGTTAACCAGGCATGGTGGTATGCACATGTAATCCTAGCTACTCGGGAGGCTGAGGTAGGAGAATTGATTGAGGTGGAGGCTGCAGTGAGTGGAGATCGCACCACTGAAGTGCAGCCTGGGTGACAGAGTGAGACTCTGTCTCAGAAAAAAAAGAAATTGCATTTGTTGGTGCTTGAAAGTTTGTAAAACATTTTTATTTTATTTTTGAAGACATATGTTGCCCAAGCTGATCTCAAACTCCTGGCCTCAAGGGATTCTTCCACCTCAGCCTCCCAAAATTCTGGGATTGCAGGTATGAGTCACTGCGTCCAATCTGTAAAGTTTCTATTAATGTCAATTTATTTGATCTTCTCAAGCCCTCTACTCTGTAAAGTGTTTTATAGCCATTTTACTGGTGAGGTTACTGGAACTTAGGAGGGATTAAATTTTGCTGGTAAAACTCCTCCCTAAAAACTTTATATAGCCTCTTTGTTTTTCTCTATCTCTCTTTTTGAGACAGAGTCAGGCTCTGTCACCTAGGCTGCAGTGCAATGGCATGATCTCAGCTCACCGTAACCTCTGCCTCCCGGGCTCAAGAGATTCTCATGCCTCAGCCACCAGAGTGGCTGAAACTACAGGCACTCATCACCATACCCAACTAATTTTCGTATTTTTAGTAGAGACAGGGTTTCGCCATGTTGGCCAAGCTGGTCTCAAACTCCTAGCCTCCAGTGATCCACCTACGTCGGCTTCCCAAAGTGCTGGCATAACAGGTGGGAGGCACTGTGCCCGGCCAAAACTTCATAGTCTTTCAAGGAAACAATACATATGCAAAACAAAAGTTGTCGTTACAGAATAATATAAACACATGGAAATTAATTACAGAAATGTATCCTGATGCCAAGGAGATTGTGAATTGTATGTAGCCAAATGAGATCTATTATAAAGCGTGGGAAGAGGTGAGTGTTTAACAGGGTTTGGAAGGAGAGGAAGAAACCAGAGTTGAGGGGTGGAAACAAAAGGGATCAGAGTTTTCCAGGCAGAGGAAATAGGCTTTGCAAAGATGTATGTGTAGGCACCCCAGTGGAGAATGGGGCCAGCAAGTTAGCTTGACAAAAACAGAGTGATCCCATCAAGAAATAATTAAAGATGAAGATTAAGAATACCTCTATTGGTGAAAACGTTTGGATAGCAAAGGGAGCTTGGTTTTATTTGACAGACATTGGGGAGTTCATAAAAGCTCATGCAGATAAAAATTAGAGATGGAAACAAAATGTGATGGTTCTTGTGGGAGCTCTGTGTAGAATGAACTGCAGCAGGAGAAACTGACGGAAGACTGCTGCAGTAATTCTGGGATAAAGTGACATGGCCGTAGCTGAGGGTGGTGACTGAGGAAATTGGAGCAAAGTGGACCCAGCGTGAAAGGCTCATCAGGACTGACGGATGGATTTAGAGTAGAAGAGGAGAGGAAAGAGTGAAAAAAAATGACTGCAAGGTGTCCAGCCTGTTGTGGTGGGCTGATTATGGTGCAATAAACACATCATTTATGACAGGAAGCCTTTTGGCTGAGGGCAAGAATAGAGAGATGGGGAGGAGGAAGCTAAGTTTTTGAAATGCAAAGTTGCAGATGAAGCAAGGCGGTTCAATTGCAGGTCTGTAGACTACCGGAGAAACAAGTCTGGAGGGAAGCAGTCCAAGTTCGCGTTGTGTCATTCTGATTGGCCTCTGGCTCACTTTCACAGCTCTGCTCACTTGCTGCCTGTTCACCCAACTCAAATGCACTTTTCTCGAAAAGTTACTATGGAGAAGAATTAATTTTATAGATTTGGATATTTCTTAGTGAACTTTCTCTACTGTAGCATAAAAAAGAAAGATAAAAAGAAAAGACATTTTAAAAGCTCATTAAGACTGTTCACCCTGAAATGATTATTTCGAAGTTACTTAGGGGCCAGGCATGGTGGCTCATGCCTGTAATCCTAGTACTTTGGGAGGTCAAGGCAGGCAGATCCCTTGAGGTCAGGAGTTTGAGACTAACCTGACCAACATGGTGAAACCCCATCTCTACTAGAAATTCAAAAAATGGCTGAGCTCAGTGGTGTAATCTCAGCCACCCTGGAGGCGGAGGCAGGAGAATCACTTTGAACCCAGGAGGAGGAGATTGCAATGAGCTGAGATTGGCACCTTTGCACTCCAGCCTGGTGACAGCAAGACTCCACAAAAAAAAAAAAAAAAAAAAGAAGTTACTTGGGGCTGAGCACTGTGGCTCACACTTGTAATCCCAGCACTTTGAGAGGCCCAGGCAGGCGGATCACTTGATCTCAGAGGTTGAGACCAGCCTAAGCAACATGGAGAAACCCCGTTTCTGCAACAACAACAAAAATTAACCAGGTTCTCGTGGCGAGTGCCTTCGGTCCCAACTACTTAGGAGGCTGAGGTGGGAGGATCGCTTAAGCCTGGGAAGTGGAAGTTGCAGTGATCCAAGGTCCACTTCAGCTCGGGCGACAGAGTGAGACCCTATCTCAAAAAAAAAAAAAAAAAAGTAAAAAGTTTACTTTTAAAAATAAATTATTTTTTAAGAATGGTCAGACGCCACAAAGTAGGCGGCAATGCCTTAACTGTACGTGTGTTGTCAGGCCTGAGGGCCTCTTTCATCCTTGTCAAGAGGTATGCTAACTTTCTCTCCTTGTATACAACACTACTTGGGTTTTTAAAAATTAATATTTATTACTTTCTTTTTTTAAGATGGGTTGGAGTCTCACTCTGTCACCAGGCTGGAGTACAGTGGCACCATCTTTGCTCACTGCAGCCTCGGCCTCCCAGGTTCAAGCAATTCTTCTGCCTCAGCCTCTCAAGTAGCTTGGACTACAGGCGTGTGCCACCACACGCCTTGTATTTTTAGTAGAGATGGGGTTTCACCATGTTGGCCAGGATGGTCTCGATCTCTTGACCTCATGATCTGCCCGCCTCAGCCTCCCAAAATGCTGGGATTACACGCGTGAGCCACCACACCCGGCAATATTTATTACTTTTAAATTTAAAATCTGAAACTTTTATACTAAACATTTCCATTTTTATGCTATTCATATAAATCTAACAAATGATGTCCGAGCCACTTGGTTAATCATTTTAAACATTTTAAATTGCATTTATTAATTTAAAAATTGGATTATTTTTTCAAACACATCAAGATTCTGATTAAAACACTTTTCCAAATTCTTAATTAATTCTAATTAAGCAAGTACATTAAACTAATACCTATAGTAAGTTGTAATTTCTCTTAAAAGCTCCAAAATAGTATTTAAACTTTTAAAAGATTTTAAAATTAAAATAAAAGATCTAAATAAGCCAGTTATATACTTTAAAGCAGCATGGCAAGGTTAATTTTACTTTTTTTTTTTAAAGATGGGGTCTTGCTATGTTTTCCAAAATGGTCTCAAACTCCTGGGCTAAAGCAATCCCCCTGCCTCAGCCTCTCAAGTAGTAGGGACTATAGGTGCGTAGCACCATGACTGGCTCCTGCAAGGTTAATTTTTAGACACTTTGGTAAACATTAAAAGTATATCTAGACACTTGTCAAAAGAAGACATTCATGCAGCCAACAAACATATGAAAAAAAGCTCAACCTCACTGATCATTAGAGAAATGCAAATTAGGCCAGGCATGGAGGCTCAGGAAGCCCAGGCAGGTGGACTACTTGAGGCCGTGAGTTCCAGGCCAGCCTAGGTATTTGTCAAAACCCCCCTCTCTACAAAAAATAAAAAATAAAAAATAATTTAGTGAGGCTGTCTCTCAAGAACAAACAAACAAACAAAAACACCAAAACAGTGCTGCCCTTCACCTTCCTTCTCTGCAGGCCTCAGCTTCCATCACTTCCCTGTAGTCCTTCCACCACAGTTTTACTGTTGTGGCTATTTCTAACCCTAACAAATTTTTAAAAGAGCAGCTGTTCTTGAAAATTGTGCTGGAGTAGAGCTAGAGGAGAAGAATCATTGCCTAAAATTTTCCCTAAGGGTTGAGTGCAATGGTTCTTGCCTGTAATCCCAGAACTTTGGGATGCTTAGGTGGAAGGATTGCTTGAGCCCAGAGTTCAAGGCCAGCCTGGGCAATATACTGAGACCCCATCGCTACAGTTTTTTTTTTTTTTTAACTAGCCAGGAGCAGTGGTTAGAGCCTATAGTCCCAGCTACTTGGGAGGCTGAAGTGGGAAAATTGCTTGAGCTCGAGTTTGAGGCTGCAGTGAGCTGTGATTGCACCACTGCACTCCGGCCTGGGTGACAGAGACCATGTCTAAAAAAAAAAGAAAGAAAGAAAAAAATTCATATCTTAGTGGTGGGCTCAAATTAACTATTTTTTTGAAAAGTCTATAAAGTCAGAATATAGACAGATGAATTTCAAAAAGAATAATTTTTCTAAAACTGTAATACTGAAATGTGAGAGACCAATGCATTCTTTCCCCGCAAACTGACCTACCCTTTTACTGGAGTCAATGCAGTTGGCAAAATAATAATAGTCATTATAAACAGCAAACAGACCTACCCATGGAGATGAACGAAAATCTGAACAATGGAGGCTGGGTAAATAAAACATTTCATGGAATCAGGGCGAAAGTTCGATGTCTGTATCTCCACATCAGGAATGAACTTGCCAATGGGATCGTGAATATCAGAAGACAGTTCATTTGTGTCCCCTCATTCCAGGCTGAAGTCTGGATAATGACTACCTATGCTAGCTTCTGTGACGCCCTTTTTTACTTTCTTAGCCAACCAAAAGTCATTCCCCACCCCTGGCCTGGGTGCCTCTTGCTCACTAATCCTTTTTTTTTTTTTTTTTTTTTTTCCAGATGGAGTCTGGCTCTGTCACCCAGGCTGGAATGTGGTGGCGGGATCTTGGCTCACTGCAACCTCCACCTTCTGGCTTCAAACAATTCTCCTGCCTCAGCCTCCCCAGTAGCTGGAATTACAGGCATACGCCACCACACCTGGCTAATTTTTGTATTTTTAGTAGAGATGGGGTTTTACCATGTCAGTTAGGCTGGTCTCAAATTGAGGGATCTGTGGGGATTGCTCCCGTGTGAGGCCCCTAGGAAATGGGCCTCGCCATACGGTGAGCTTGAGCCCGGACACAGATCTCCGGTTGGGGGAGTCAAGCTGAGGGAAAGCAGGAACCGAGAAAGGGACTATGCTATTCAAAATAATTAACAGACATTACTTTATGGATATGAGGACTTGGGAGGCATTGTGTCCACGTTCAGCTCCTTATGGTTTATTGCTTGATTGTGTTCATTTTGGACCCTTGTTACCTTCATTGTCAAATATGAACTTAAGTATTTACACTTGGTAACTTACTAACTTACTGGGTGTAACTAACTTACTTACCATAACTTACTGGGCGTAACCGTAACTTACCGTAACTTGCTGGGTGTAACTTACTAACTTACTGGGCGTAACTGACTTTCTGGGCTTAACTTACTGAGCGTAACTTAGTGGGCGTAACTTGCTTACTGTAACTTAAGTATGTTGATCTGGCGTAAACAACATTAACTTCAGAAAAGTATATAATGGAACATATTGCAAAAATAAAATTGCTGCTTGGACATAGCCTAAGCCAGCCCTCCAGACTCCACTTTTCTTTTTTCTTTCACTTCCGTGCACTCTCTCCCTCAGGTTGAACGAGACATCTATGTTGGCGGTCTTGGGGACTCCCGCAGGTCGGTAGCCCCCCGGCAGACATGCCAGACCTCAACATCAAATTCCCACCTTGGCCTCCCAAAGTGCTGGGATTACAGGCGTGAGCCACCTTGCCTGGCCTCACTAATCCTTTAATGCAGTTACTTAAGATGCCTGTTAGAAAAAGTCATCCTCTCAGCTTGTACTTTGATCCTTAAAGTGCGGATTTCATCATTCAAGAGCTGAACCATATTTCTGAGTTCTTGTCGAAGGCCTCTCTGCAGCAGCCAAATAGAAACTAGAAACTTTCACATGTATCTGTTATTATCAGAAGCGTGGGGTGAGAGCTGTGCAGGGAAAGTGCGGTGAGGAGTGGAGAGACTGGGGAAAACTTTATTTCCTGAGAAATACCTCCCAGGCTCAAGGGATCCCCCTACCTCAGCCTCCTGAGTAGCTGGGACTACAGACATGCATCATCCTGCCTGGCTAATTTGTTCTTAAAATGCTGATGAAATCAGATTTCTGAGTCAGCTAGGGAATGTCTTATGAGACACACTGCTGGTCTTCTTGGAATACATCATCACAGGGTAGGATGACAGGTAGCCACAGTCCTGCCTGAGGGTTCAGGGGAGGACTCTTGGAGATGATAACATCTGAACTTTATCTTAAAAGGTGATACGGTTTTCAGGAAAAGGGAGTCATGCAGGGCATTCCCAGCATAATCCAGAGCACAGAGAAGAGAATTAGCACGGGCAAGGTGGCAAGACAACTAGTAAAAGTTGAGGGGTGGCTGAGAGATGGAGAGGGATCAAATCAAGGAGAGCCACAAGTCTCCTGGGGAAGAAATAGTCATTCAAGTGTGTGTGTGTGTGTGTGTGTGTGTGTGTTTAAGACAGAACCTCTCTGTGTCATCCACGCTGGAGTACACTGCCTCCCAGTTTCAAGTGGTTCTCCTGCCTCAGCCTCCTGAGTAGCTGGGATTACAGTCTCCTGCCACCAAGCCCAGCTAATTTTTTGTATTTTTAGCAGAGATGGGGTTTTGCCATGTTGGCCAGGCTGGTCTCAGACTTCTAGCCTCAAGTGATCCTCCTGCCTCAGCCTCCCAAAGTCCTAGGATTACAGGTATCTGAGCCACCGTGCCCGGCCTTCCAGAGGCTCTTAAAAGCAGAGAAGAATTGAGGAGAAATGGGCTCCTTCCCTTTGTCACTGTTCAGTCCTTCCCACTCTGCTCCAGACCTCAGCCAGGATCCAAAGGCTTCCCCATTTATCACCAACATGGAAGCCAGGTCTTCCATGAGAAGGGAGGTCTACTCAGCCTTCAGGCTTGAGCTGATCTTGGACATTCTGTCCTATCATGAGGGGCCTGACCAGTCACTCAGGCTCTTTTTGTTTAGTGATTAAAACTTTTCATATTAAAAAAAAAATCTTGTTAGAAGACAAAAGAGTGGAAAGTAATGGAGAACACACAAGATTCACTGATGGGCTTTTGTTTCAAGTATGAAAACTTGGCTGGGCGTGGCAGCTCATGCCTGTAATCCCAGCACTCTGGGAAGCTAAGGTGGGTGGATCGCTTGAGCCCAGGAGTTCAAGACCAGCCTGGGCAATATAGCGAGACCACATTGCTACAGAAAATAAAAAATTAGTCAGGCATGCTGGTGGGTGTCTCTGGTCCCAGCTACTCAGGAGGCTGAGGTGGGAGGGTCTCTGGAGCCTGGGAGTTTGAGGTTGCAGTGAGCCATGATGGCAGCACTGCACTCCAGATTGGGTGGCCAAGTGAGTCTGCCTTTTATTTATTTATTTATTTTTTTGGTGCCGTGACTCAGATCCAAACGAGTCTGTCTCAAAAAAAAAAAAAAAAGTCAGGTGTGGTGGCTCACGCCTGTAATCCCAGCACTTTGCGAGGCCGAGGTGGGCAGATCACAAGGTCAGGAGTTTGAGACCAGCCTGACCAACATGGTGAAACCCCATCTCTACTAAAAATACAAAAATTAGCTGGGCAAGGTGGCAGGTACCTGTAACCCCACCTACTCAGGAGGCTGAGGCAGGAGAATTGTTTGAACCCGGGAGGTGGAGTTTCTGTGAGCCGAGATTGCACCATTGCACTCCAGCATGGGCAATGGAGTGAGACTCCATCTCAAAAAAAAAAAAAAAAAAAAGAGCCTGGGAGAGAAAAGAGAGCCTATGGACAAAGAGAGATTCAAGATAGAAAAGAAAAAAAAAACTAATGATGAAAGCAGATCCTGGAGGAGCAGAAGGAGGGATGCAATGGAGATCCACCCTAGAGGGGCTGACTCCAAACAGGAAGAGACTCCTTGGGGACCTGCTGATGCTGATGCCACAGAGTCAGGTGTGGTCAGTCATGGAAGACACCCCCGGGGGAGATCATCTAAATTTTACACAAATCCAAAGTCATTTACAACCACGAGATGACTACTTGGTGAGAGCCAACCGCATGTATCATTACCGATAATCTTCACAACAACCCTATGAGATAGACATTCTTCTGATTTTATACTAGAGAAAAGAGCTCAGATAAATTAAGCAACATGTTGTAGGTAACACCGTTTTCAAGAAGTAAACCTGGGGTTTGAATCCAGGCTGTTTAGCCCTTGTTATTTGAATGACTCATATGACATCACGCTGCCTTAGAGCAGAGAAGACGGAGTTGCACCTGTCATAGAAAGCCCATGTGGGTGATATCAGAGGGCAGTGTATCTCTTAATATTTGAAATCACCACCAGGGTTTTTGTCTGTCTAGATGTTGAGCTTGTCCTGAAATCCAGATGTTCTAGTTTGTCTAGAAATCTGTTCAACCACAACAAATGGCATAAGCCTATCTAGGTCCTGAAAGGGTTCGGGAATAGCATGGTAAGAATTTGAACTGGCCGGGCGCAGTGGCTCAAGCCTGTAATCCCAGCACTTTGGGAGGCCAAGGCGGGCAGATCACAAGGTCAAGAGATTGAGATCATCCTGGCCAACATGGTGAAAACCTCGTCTTTACTAAAAAATACAAAAATTAGCTGGGCATGGTGGTGCGCACCTGTAGTCCTAGCTACCAGGAAGGCTGAGGCAAGAGAATGGCTTGAACCTGGCTTGAACTCAGGAGGTGGAGGTTGCTGTGAGCTGAGATTGCGCCACTTCACTCCAGCCTGATGAGTCTCTCCAAAGCGAGACTCTTTCTCAAAAAAAAAAAAAAAAAAAAGGTAAAAGTACCCTGAGCTACCCTTTCTCAGTCATCAGAGTGGCATCAATTCACAAACAATATGTGCTGTTGATGGCCACTGTCTCATACAGCTGGGGAAAATGCAGAAAGGTGTAGAAGGCTGTCTGGCCATATCTAAGAAAAGTACATAGGCATTTATCCTTCCACCCAGCAATCACTTTTCTAGGAATTTATCTGAAGAAAAAAATTCAACAGTAAGCTTTTTACTATTTTACATATTTTTAAGATTAAACTAATTGGAATGGAGAGAAAAAGGCAAAAGAAACCCAACTATGTTACAAATAAATATCATGACCACTCTAGGCGGGAAAGGACAGGGGAAAACTAATGCTAATAATGTTTGAACATGCTCAGTCCAGGAGGCGGAGGTTGCAGTGAGCTGAGATCACGCCATTGCACTCCAGCCTGGGTGACAGAGTGAGACTTTGTCTCCAAAAAAAAAAAAGAATTTGGACTAAACTTGGGAAATAGTCTTCTGATTTTGTATCTTCTATTCATTACACAAGTTTCTGTGACAGTTGAACAGGTGGGAAGGCTGGAGAAAATGTTTGCAGCCTGAAGATTCTGATCCAGTAAGCATGAGTAAATCCCACGAATGATGTGATCATTTATCAGACTGGTAATAGTAGGTGCCTCTAGGAAAAGGGACCTAGGGGATCATCCAGGGAATACTGACCTATGTACATATGTTATTGAATCAAATACATTAAACATCATATCTTGACATGACGGCATAAACTTACTTGTTAAATGTAAAGCACTGCTCGAGCACGGTGGCTCAG